GTATTAATATTCTTTTAATAATTATATAAATTAATTAAATTCACATTATTATTAATTAATTAAGTACTAAGAGTACATGTTTTTCTAAATTTTTTTTCCGGGTAATATTGATTTGTGAAAAATGTTTCAAAAATCCGATTTTGAAATTTTAAACTCGGTTTTGATGACCACTCCAGAGTTAAATTCAGACTTACAACTCTGAATTTTTTCAGAGTTATGTTGTAAGTCTGGAGGCCTCTTCAGACTTAAATTCAGCTTAAACCACGAAAACAGAAAAATAAACGTGTAGAGGGACATATGTCACTTAAATAGACCTATTTGAACCGTAAGTAAAAATTGTGTCTAGATACTTGTTTAGGCGGGAAAAATAAGAACCGCCGCACAGAAACATGACACATGTCCCCAAAGTTACTTATTTATTAAGTATATAGATATATATATATATACACACACACACACACACACACACACACACATATATATATATATATATACAATAATTCCTTTAAGTTGGCTTTCACATGTGAACACAATACTTCCTAATCATAAGATCTTCAATATTCTTGTATTGTGATCTACCATCTTCACCCGTGTTTGTAAATCTCGATTATGAATACTTATCTATCAAACACTCCTCCACCACTGTTATGGTTTAATAAATCAAATCCAGTTGTTTGATTTGAAGATTAATGTCGATTACATATATGTTCAGGATAGGACATTCAAGTTTTCTTATCATATTAAAATAACAAGTCATCTATAATTTGGAAAAAAAAAATAAACATGTTATTTTAGCTATAATCATAGGATAGATGTTTTATAACCGTTCATTAATGAATGTGAAGTTAAGACAAAGAGAAAAAGATTATCATTGTGTTATCAATATTAATTATATGGTGATAAAAAACATAATCTAACAAAAGTTTGTGATTGGTTTAAATGGTCTCTATAATTAATATTTTTTCATGGTTAACAAATAATCTTAGTACCCTTTCCCCCCCCCCTCTCTCTCTCTCTCTCTCTCTCTCTATATATATATATATATATATATATTAAATATTCATGTTATTAATTATCAGATGACCATTAACGGACATGAGAACCCGATCCATTAATGAGAGTA